CCAGAGGAGAAGGAGAAATAAGAGAAAATAAAGAAAAAATTAAAATGAAGAGTCAAAAGAGAAGCCGAAGATAGAAAACAGAAGAAAGCACAAAAGCAGAATATGAAATGGAACTTTTTTAAGTTTTAAAACACACATTCTTTTGCTAATGCTAGAGTTGACTCGTTCAGGCTGGGACTGGGGAATGCTTAGATCGTTTCGTTTTTGTCTTTCTTCGTATTTGTAGGACCCCCGTATATGGTTTGAGTTACGGTCTGTTCCACAGGCTATAGATAATGTAGTCAAAGAGAACATGAACGAAGTTTTGAACGGCGATAAAAACAAGTAGGTCTAATGAATGTTTGTCCAGCGAAGAATTGAAGTCAAGAGCGTTTGAGGAAGAACTAGGCCAGGAGAAAGTAAAGGACCTGAGTGGAATTAACACGGATATCTAAAGACCTTGGCTTCGTGTAGGTATGCGTGTATTAGGTGGCGGACTATAAGTGGTAGAGCTACCTGGTTAGGAATTGGCAAAGTACGACAAAAGGAGGAGATGAAACGCGGTAGTGAATACGACGGACTAAATATGAAAGGCAGACGAAACTAATGCGAGGGTACAAAGGAAAACGGAAACCAAAAATATGCTGTGCAGGGTTGATGATGTACGAAATATCATGAAGGGACAACGAGGTGGACGAGCGGACAGATGAAAAAGGAAAAGATAAGGTGAGACAGGATGAAATGCAAATGAGAGCACACGCTACATAATGGAGATGCAGTGATTGTTCGCAGGCAAAACATTGAGCAAAAACAAAGGAAACAACACACGCTATGGATAGAAAATAAGATAACAAGGTCCTCAGAAAGAGGGGAGAGCGATGAGGAAAACGAAAAGGGAGTCCGAGAAGAGAGCTCGAAAGGTGAAAACTAAAAAAGAAACGAAGCATAATAGCCCAAGCTGTCATTCCCATAAGTAGAAAAAAGTTCTCATCACACACATATATATATAAATATATATAGTAGTTCATAGATAACTTTTCTCCCGATTTTTGTTGTCTCCTACAACTCATTTGGTTTGAAACTGGTAGTGGTATTGGGCTCCCGAACCCTCGTTATGATGATGGTGGTTGGTAATAAGGATTTGGTCGATATCCTACTGGAGTTGTTGTCATGGGCGGCGGCTGCTGCTGCTGTGGCGAGCGAAATTGCTGGCTACTTGACCAAGATGGCTGGCGTTGGCGTTGGTATTGTTGTTGTTGACTTGCTGATTGTTGCTGGTGTGGGTTAATGGAGCCATAGCCGCCAACCATGCCATTCGAGCTGTTATATCGGTAATGTTGTGGTGGAAAATGTGAACCTACTGGGTGCTGTACTGGCTGGAAGAGCGTCTCTAAGGATTGGCGTTGTGCGATAGCTTGTTGGACCATTGCGCTGCTAAAACCCTCCTTTATAGCCTTTTTGTCGCGTTCTCTAGCATCTATCGCGCTTACGAGGCCTGCGCCGTGAATTTGGTCTTCACTTTGCTTTTCGCTGGAGACGTTGAAGAAAGAAGACCCAGTCATTCGCGCTACATATTCTTGCTCCCGTGCAGAAAGGTGGGTGGAGATGTCATTACACCCAAGCATAACACTTGCTCCACGAGAGTGCGGGCGAGGAATCATTTCTCGCATCATTGATTGGGGTCGTGCTGTATTGGCCCGATCACCAGGTGATGTTTTGCCTGGTGTGCTTCCGGCTCCGGTGTTACCCAACATTACACTAGCACCTCGCGAGTGCGGGCGCGCAGGCATGTCCTGCGCCATTGGTTGTTGGCGCTGGTAGTTTGTCCAATCGCCAGATGCTGGTCGAGGTTGGATAATAGCAGATGGGAAACGGTGATGAGAGGTGAGCCGATTCGCGTCCACTTTCCGCTGAACAAACTCTTCAGGCGTGATATGGGGCCCAGGGCTCGCTGGCCCACTCACCATCCCGGGTTGCCAGATCATACTTCGCTGGTGTTCATCGCTGGATGGAGTCTTACTGTCACTACCGTGGCTTGTCTCCCTTGAAGACCCTCGCCTTTCGCGTCCAATAGTAGTATATGAAGGAATCCGCTTGTGAGTTAACAGAGCTTGTGTATCTGCGGTGCTAGGTCGCCTGGTCGTGGGCATATAAACTTGTGTTGGCCCAAAGTCAACAGTGGGAATATCTGGATTGTCTTGACGAGGGGCAAGAGGGTCAGAGCGTCGGTAACGGACATCGCCAATTATCACTTCTGAATTGTTTTGATCGTCAGTCCCAACAACCTTCAACACTCCCATCCTTGGCTGTGGTACGGGATTGTCTGACGGCTTTGAGGGCGAGGGCTCACGAGAGCTGGCATAGCGAGGCGAGGACGTTGAACTCTGGTCATACATGCTTTCTTCATCCTGGACATTGTCGGTTCGTAATTTTGGGGACCGTCCTCGAGCAACGATTTTGTCTAACGCATCGACGTCAATCGCGTGGCTCATGCTATCTAGGCTCGAAGATTTGTCGGAAACCCGACTTTCACCATCATATAAAGATTGGAGAATCGGCGTTCGGGAGGCTGCTTTTTGGATATCGAGTTTAAGGAAGTTCGCTACGGAACTTTGATTCTCATAGTAATTGGGGGGCGAGGGGAGTTGGGTTGGGCCATCAACTGCTGGAGCCTGGGGATTTTGGGAATATGGCTTCGGGGTTCTAAGTGTTACTGGGCTTTGAGGCGAAAAACTCATGTCAGTAGAACTTTCCTCCCCGCTACCAGCATTCTGCACGTCCCCTCGCTGACCTTGATCATCCGGCTGTCTGGCCGGCATTTTCCCATTCCATCCTGCTGCTTCGCCAGCGGTAGCCAAGTTCCTTCGCATATTTATATCTACCATCTGGCTCAAAGTTCCCTGTGATATCCGGTTTCCTGCCTTGTGAAGGGTCCAGTGACGGTTGAGGCCTCACAAGGGGGGCTCTTCGTATGTCATGGAACGACAGCCGGGGGGATGGCTACAGGTGCGAGGAAGGATGGCTTTGT